ATCAACATTGGCTAACAATGTTATGTCTATCATACAGGAGACAATGTCTAATGAGCATGCAATGCGTTTTCCGTTTGTTGGAGTGCAATGTTGTTATCGCTTTTCTTGCTTTTTCAAGTTCTTATCAAAAGACTTGGTTAATGCAGTATTTGACATGCTATTTCTTTGTGCTTGGATCGTTGCTCTTTCGTATGTTCTTTCCGTATGGATTTGCTACTGTTTTCGACTTTTACAAAACTAGTTCACATGATGTCATATCTGATTGTTTCATTATCTCATTTATTCTTCCTGTTATCATTCTCAGGGCAACAATATTGCCTGCCATAAGACGCTTCTTGCCAAAGCATTGGAATGAGGACCATATCATTTGGCATTTTCCATACTTCCGATGTATGGCCCTTCTTTTATTATTCGCAATAATGTCATATTGGCCTCTATAATAAACTTCCAAATGTGGTACCTCTACTTTAAAAATGTATAATTTGATACCTATACATATTCTTTCGTGTGCCATATTTGGCTCTATTCTTTTATTATTTCTCTATGACATTTTTTGGTTTATTTGGCTTTATTGCATCTTTTATCAAGGCAAGCATCATTGATATTTGATTGAAAGATTCTGAATGTATTTGTATTCTTGAGTGTTTCTTCCTGATTCAGTGCTTTTCTGTTATTTGCCATTTTTTTCTTTGAAAATTACCTTGGATGAGTTTCTTGTGTGGGGAAGGAAGTTACATGGAGATAGGGGGAACTTTATTTTTCTTCTTTTCTTTTAAAAGGATACTAGGTGCATTTAAGTTTTTTTTGGCTTTTATATAATTTGGTATTTCTCCAAAGCTCCAGCTCAACTTTGTTTCCAGGATTTGCTCTTGCAATTTCCATAAATCCAAATTGGAATTAATTCTTTGATTGTCATGATACCTTTCTGGGGGACTTTACGTTTCCTTTGGCAGTTTACAATCACTCTGGTTTTTGTGCTATATAAGCTGCCAGGTTTGCCTCTGGAATAGGCTGAATGCCCAATTTCTGTGAATGATTTGAGTTTTAGGTGTTATTTTTTGCTTGAGTGCGTGTAACTTTTTCCTGTTTAAAGTTGAGTACATCTATATTCAGTTATGTCCATCATTAATTCTGTAGAATTCTTATTTGATCTAGTAAACATTATCTTGTTTTTATTATACAGATTAATGTTTTTCCTCGCACCTTTCTTAAACAGCTTTTGAGATTGAGTTCACAAGATCTTCAGGTCGTAGCTGCAATCCCTGGAACCTTTTCTGTGCATGGTACGCTTCGCAGAGCATTGGCTGGCTAATAACATTCTGGGTCTTGCTTTCTGCATTCAGGTTGGCTGAAATACCTGTTTTATTGACTTTTCTATTTGTTAATGAATGAGGATTTCTGATTAATGAGTTATATGTTGTTTGTTATCTACTTCCTTTCTATGATTTTGCAATCGGACCCAGAGAAAACAATATTTATTAGGTATATTTCTTGTCAGTATGCAAACTCGTAATTTGGAAGTTCGTATTTCTGTTAGATTAAAAGTACTTTTGGATGATCATATCACAAAAACGGGAAAATTCTTTGCCCCAGCGTTCAAATCGTCTAACAGACTTCGGTCATCTTTTGCTACAGTGTTTCACATAAGTTTAGTTTTTGGACTTTGAAATGATTTGTCTGCATATGGTTGATCCTGTCAAATTTGTGGCTGGTGTTCAACTGAGCAGTTCAATGATTTTGAAAGTTTCTTTTTATTTATCTTTAATAAATTTATGAAGACTATTATGATTTATCTATATTTCATCACCTTGTTGCTTTTCCCTCCATTTATTGAAGTTTATGGCTTTTTTTTTTTTTTTTTTTGGTCAAGTGGATTACACATATTAACTAGGCTTGGTGGTTTGAAGGTTTGTTGTTGGTTTTTGCAGGGAATTGAAATGCTTTCTCTTGGATCTTTTAGGACTGGTGCCATTCTCTTGGTAAGAAGTTGATTAGTGGTTTTAGTTAGTTTGTTTATTCATGGGAAGTATTATTCACTGTTATTGAGACAAGTTAACTTCCTTATATGAATTTTTTTTTTCAATTTAGCAAAATTTGCATGTTTTTAGCTGATCATGATCTATGAATTAGACAACATTTCTATAGTTGCTTATTCTTAAGATTTTGATCTGTAGACCCAATTTCCTTTCTTAGCAATCTTCTTTGACAGCGACTTGAATTGATCCTTGCAGCTTCTATCTATATTTTCTGCCAACACTCTTTCTTGTTTTGAGGTTATTGTTAGTTTGCTCTGGTTAGCCAAATTTCAAAGTTATGTTTTTGTTAGCTAAATTGCAAAGCTATGTTTGACCCTTTCATTTACTTGCCTTTCATGTTCAACTATCTTTTCTTTCATATGATTTTTGCCATCTTTATACCTTGCAGGGTGGGCTTTTTGTATATGATATTTTCTGGGTTTTTTTCACTCCTGTAATGGTTAGTGTTGCGAAGTCTTTTGATGCTCCTATAAAGGTCAGTTCTTTTTTCTTTTATCTGAAATACTTTTCCTGGTTAGCTTTTGATTTGATGTATATACTTTATGTTTTCAATGTATTATCAAATTTGTTATCCTTGGTGATCTAATTGCTTTAGTACTTTTCTGCAGCTTTTGTTCCCAACAGCAGACTCTGCACGACCATTTTCCATGCTTGGACTTGGTGACATTGTAATTCCTGGTAGGTTTTGAAATCCATTTTTAGTTGGTAGGTCTAATGCATGCTGTTTTATGACGTGAGCTTTTATTTAGGGTTTCTTGTTCTATTACATTGTCATTCTAATTAGAGAGTAGCATTCTAAGATTTTGAATGTGGAACCAGGAGAAATCAAAATGACCGTTTCCTTTCCTAATTGTATTTTGTTTATATCTAGAGGTCTGATGTATTTGTCTTGATAAAACTTTATTTATATGCATTGAAATTCAAGACTTACATAATAATTCAAGCTCACACAGAGCGTGTTAAATGGCTTAAAAAAATTCGTAGATTATATGCTTGAGTGCTTCTTTTAACTCATGTATTCTATTTCTAGAGTATGATCTCATTTACTGCTGTAGCCCATTTGACTTATGTTGTTTGATTATATAGGCGTTTATTTAATTTTTTCTTATCTTTTTTTATTAAATTGCTGTATCATCATTGTTTTTAGGATAGGCGTCCCGGGCAGCGATACTATCAAATGCTGGTGTTTTCCTAATGCCACTTATTCTTGAGTGAAATATGATTAACTTTTTAATTTATGACTTTTTTTTTGGTTATTAACATACACGAATATGTTGATAAATGTACATTTACTGGGCTCAACAAAATTGTTTCTCCTTTTAGTTTCCATTTGATTGGTCATTATTCGTTTAACATTAAAAACTTTATAGAGTTATGTATGTGTCTATAAGAAACTGAGTAAGGTATGATCAATATTTTCTGTTTTTATATTTGTTTATTTCTTCCTTGTAGGTATTTTTGTAGCACTAGCATTAAGATTTGATGTATCTAGGGGGAAAGAGAGCCAGTATTTTAAGAGTGCATTTTTGGGATACATAGTGGGATTGGTCCTTACAATTGTTGTCATGAACTGGTTTCAAGCTGCGCAGGTAAACTCTTCATGACCCTCTATTTTATCCTCTCTTCCTGTTAAAGCATGTGAGCTGTATCCAGTGAAAGTTTTATCCTGTGGATATACACTCACTCTCTATGTGACAACCTGATGATCTGCTATGCTCATTGTGCTTTCAGCCCGCACTTTTGTATATTGTACCAGCTGTTATTGGATTCTTGGCTGCTCACTGTATATGGAATGGAGAAGTCAAACCGGTATGTTCTCCACCCTTGTTTGATTCTCTCTGGCATTATGTTCTTGGCTTGTACTTTTTAATTCAATTCTTTTCAAATTGTCTTTTTGCTTGTAAAAGGAAAAAGTGAAAAAAAAAACATAATTCTATGTAAGAGTTGGCTTCTTATTGTAAAAATTTGTTTTTATTACCCGGTTTTTCTAGGATTAGCAACAAGTACTATTGTCATCTCTTGCTTGCAAAAGTCTTGGAGGATTTTGCACTAGAGAATCTGGTGTAATGTTAATGAAAAAAAAAAGAATGAGAGTATGATTGACTGTGGGATAGGATTGAGGGTTCAGTTATGTCCAAGTCTAGGAAAAATTGAAGAAAGTGAAATTCATGCTCCATGGAGGTGTAGGAGGACCTTATGCTATATGATATCGAGTTAAGCATTAAATTTTGCTTTACAAGGGGTTTTTGACTGTTTTAGATCCAAATGATAACCCCCAGAATTTTGTATAAATTGGTATGCTAAATAATATTCTATGTTATAGATTGCCTACAAAGTTAAGAATCAATAGTCTGACGATCATGCCAAGTATCTTATGTGTGGAATGTTCTTTAGTTATAACTGTTTCTGCTATTCAGTTAGGAATTTGATTAATGAAGTGATTATCTTCTATATTCGGATTGTAATTTGGTTAATATGATCTATCACAATGTGCAGTTATTGGAGTTTGATGAGTCAAAGACTGCAGTTACGTCTCAACAAGGTAGCGATGACAAATCTAGCAAGAAGGTCGAATGAGTTATAGAAGCCAACCAGACACCGAAACTATTTTAGCTTGAAAAAGGAAATAGTGTTTACTTTAAGGTCAATCTTGGCTAACTTGTTCTACTGCAAAACCATTGTAACAGATTTTGGAATTAAGCAAGAAAGAAATATTTAGCCTCTTAAGCAAGATTACTTTCATTTTTACTCAATTCCAATTTTCATAGATGTTCACATTGTATTTAGATCCATAAACACTTTCTTTTTGGAAAATTATTTATTTGCCCCAACCTCTTTTTTTTTTTTTTCTCATTTTTCACATTGATACATATGTCACCTAATTTATGCAATATTTTCAAAAAGTAACATCCAATTTGTTTTAATTTAAACTCTGGCATTTGTATTCCCTACTATCTTTTTTTTTTTTTTTTTGTACAAAAACAAAAAAATCATGCTGAATGCTTGTATTGCCGATCAGCATTTCTCATCAATGCTTTTCTGTTGTTTTTCAAAGCTGCTGAATATTTTATTGGTCAAGCAAAACGTTGCTGCTAACTTTCATGAAAAGGTTGGAATACTTTTCAGTTTATACACAAACTTGTCAAAGCAACTTTCATGAAAAACTGCTCAACCAAACTGAATCCGTCCAATTCTTTTCGTGTATTCTTTAAATTCATGGAGTCATCTCATTCAACAATTTCATTGCAACATATGATTTTGCTTAGGGAATCTGTGCTACCTAACTTTTATTGCAATAATAATAAAATATCATTCAAAGAAGAAAAAGAACTGAAATCATTTATATTTCATTTATATCGTTAGTGAGTGGTACAAATTTTATATGGCTGGAGGGTTGGCCCAATGGTAGTAGGCTGGCCCTGCCTGCCCCCATCATCATATATTAGTGAGGTGTTTCTGGTGATTTGATTTTGATCTTTACTTCTATTTCACAACTGCTGGTGCTACAATATCTATATTTGATTTAATTTTTCTGGGAAGGAAAATGGAGACTTAAAATAACTTTAAACAGAAAAAAAAAAGAAAAAGATAGACAAAAAGAGCCAAAACTGGGTTTTAATTAAAACGAAACCAAAACCCAACCGTTGAATTATACTAATTGAATCAAATAAGCAAAATCGAAACCAAAAAAAAAAAAAATTCCTTTACTCTTATCTTTTCATTCTTCCTCAGGAATTTCTCTCTCTCTCCCTCCTTCGCTTTCTCTCTCTGTCTCTCTGTCTCTCTCATGAGTAAATTAATTAAAATGTAAATGTAATGTAAGCAATAAGAAAGGAAAAACCATGGAGTTCTAAAAGCTTCTGAAATTGAAGACCCAGATTTTGCTTCGCAAAAATGGAGGTCCCTTTTTTAAGGTCAAATCAAAGGACAAAACTTTGAAGAAAAACAAAGGGTACCAAGAAAAAAAATATCGAAACTATGGAAGGTAAAGCTTTCGTTTCTCAATCTCAGATAAAAAATTTTGAGATTCGGGTCTTTAATTTTCTGTTGTTAATGCTTCCAATTTTGAGTTTTTGGTATTGAAGTGTAAAGTTAAAATTTTGGGTTTCTTAATTGTGGGTTTACTGTAATCTGTCAAGAAAGTTACATGCATAGAGGAATGTTTGGACAATAAGCCTGGCAGCATTTGTAATTTTTTTTCTTGGTGAGGGGATGGGCGGTGTTTGGTTGTTGGGAAAATGGAGAAAGAATTAGAAAATTCTATCCATGTTTTTTTTCCACAAAAAAGCTATGATTTTCTTTTTTTAATTTTTGTATTGTCTGCTTGGAATGTATTTTTCTTTTTTTTTTCCCAATGATTTAATGTTGTTTTTGGTACTTTAGAGAGGAGCCCAAACTGTGGGAGGGAGATCCTAACCTTTGACCTTAATCATTGTGAGAAGCCGCCAGCGATAACAACCACTAAGCCTGGCCTAATTCATGACGATTTAGTGTTGTTTTATCACTTGGAAATATGCAAATTTGTTCATGTCTTTGCTTTTATAGTAAGTTATATTCGTATGTTTGTTTCTAAAGGTTGCATGTTTCCTTTCTGTTTCCTTTAGAATGTTGTTATAACTGCAGATTGGAAGTATGGTTCTATCATGGACATTAGGATATTTTTGAATTGGTAGGTGATGTATCAATGGATAGCATGTTCTGTGAATCATGTTGTAGGTGTTATGGATAATCTGCATAAGCTGCTAACCTCAGTTCCTCACACATAGTTGAATGTCAAGTGTGAAATTAGTCAAATACCTTAAGCTGACAGATTTGAGAACTTCTTTGTACTTCAATAAACGTACAAGTGATCCATGAATTTCTTCATTTGGTTCTCTTGAAGATGGGATCAAAGGATATTTAAAGGTCAATTTCTCTGGAATGTTGGATGAGATGTGCAAAAGTTTATCGGTAAAGCAAAAGTTCCCTAATGGAAGGAAATGCTAGCTAACATCAATTGAGAAACCTCAGTAAGTTAATGACTTAGGAATGCAACTTATTCATAAGGTCATGTAATTGGTCGGAGGTGGTTCCTTTTCATATGTTACTGTGGCATTAAAATCCATTATTATGTTAGGTTTCATACCACCCTTAAGGTGTTTGCTTTTCTGATGTAATGATTTTTTTGTGGTTCTTAATGATATCTAGACATGGCTTTTAGAGCTAGCTGATGTGGAAAGATGGGTTTGCTTAAGTTTTGGTTTGGGGGGGGGGGAGGGGGGACCACAGGAATTTTTTGGTCAAGTAAAGTGTCATAACCACAGGTACTCCTAAAAACAAGAGAGAGATATCAAGAAGAAGATTGTATGTAAATGTGACATTGCAGTGAGTTTAATCTAACAAATTTGAAGGTGTATAAATTGGCTGAGGGAATATAGTGAAATTGTTAGTCTGACTCCTAGTAATTTAAATGAGGTTTTTGTTTTTGTTTTACTTTTACTTTTTATTAAGCTGATTTCCCTGTTCCTTGTTATACACTATTTAATGCAGTTGGCTAGTAACTATTAGACTTCGTCTCATTTGGTTGAAAGTAATCCAGCATATATATCTGTGATGGCTCTGATTTCTATATAAAGCATAGCAGCGAATTTATAACAAATTTCTAACTATTTTTATCCCTATCATGCTTAATGCTATCATATCTAATACATTGGTTTCTACTTCTCTGCAATCATTTTAGATTCAGGTGAAGTGCAGACTAAAGAGAATAAAGTTTCTCTAGATGTGTTTAAGAAAAGAACGCTCAAGACACCAGCCCAGGTTACGGCTCTGGAGAGCTTCTACAAAGGTATTAATTCTTCTCTTCTCATCTTATTTAAATGATTCCTTTCATATGTTTCAAAAGGAGTTTGGTTCTTTTCCAGAGCACAGATTTCCTTCAGATGAAATGAAAGCACAACTGGCAGTTCAGATAGGGTTGACAGAAAAGCAGATATCTAGTTGGTTTTGTCATAGAAGGTTAAAAGACAAAAGAAGAGATGAATCCTATGCTAATGGGCGACAGGATCATTCTAGTGGTGTTATTCAGGATCGTGGTAGTGGGCTCAGGCAAGATTCTTGTGGCAGTATTAAGCAGGGTGATTACAGGAATATTGATCCGAGGGAGGTTGAAAGTCAAAGGATTTATGGCCAAGATTTTCCAGCTGCTGACCTCAAATATGAGCGTAGGAGTCATCAAAATCCACATGATGCTCAGATGGAGGATACATCTTCTGAAAGTAGTTTGTCTTTACATGATCAACTTTTTTCTGAAAATAGGGACCCTTACGATATGCAAAATTCTGCTAAACTTGCAGAAAATGGAGCAATTATGCAGATAAACCCTAGGAGTGCTAAAAGCATGGGTTATAAGCCATCAGGATATTTAAAGGTTAAGGGTGGAAATGAAAATCCTGCTATTACTGCTGTTAAGAGGCAGCTTGGGAGGCATTATCAAGAAGAAGGTCCACTACTTGGTATTGAATTTGATCCACTTCCTCCTGGTGCATTTGAGTTCCCAAGTAGCAATCCCGTCAATGGTAAGTCCAATACACAGATATGTTTGTTATATTGACAATTTTCATAGAATCATGAAATGCCTTCTGGCAAAAGGGGTGCTTAAAGTTTGTTGTTTCTTGTCATTTTATTTATTGTTTGTTACTTTGTTTGTGCACTAAACTTTTATTTGCTTTTGAATTTAGAAATAGAACATATTTCTTCTGCATTTATGCATTTATTGTACTAATGTATGATGTTTTCAAAAGCAAATGCATGAGACAAAGCGTTTTATTCTTGGATATGCAACTTATCACTGCTTCTCATTAAAAGAGCCTAGAACTTTACACAAAGTACGGTTAGTGATAAATTAAACCAGAATGACTATCCCATTAAATCAATTTAGTCCAATTGCTCAGAACTCTTAATTCTTTAATATATAAATAGATTATATTTCCTAGTCTTGTCTATGCCTTTCCATAACCTTCCTTTAATGTTTATTTCATGCTTCTTTAGTGCTAAGTAATTTCCTATTTGTTTTTCATCTCTCATTCCCCTTTGTTTCCCCTTCTATTTCTCTATTCTGATCTCTCTATGTCCTACTAATTTTGTCTACTCTCTTCCCTATTCTCCCCCCTTTCTTTCTTAAATCGATCGCTCTTCCTTTTGCTTCCATAGATTTCTCCCTTTGATTTCTAAATGCATCTTCTTTCTTGTTTTATTGTCAGTATTTTTCTTAATGTAAGATTTGGAAGGACAAGTTAATTGATTGTGAGAGTAAAATGCAGAGCGATAATGTTTCCTGAGAAAGTCATCTGTGGCAACTGTTTAACTTCAATTTTGTTGTATTTTGGGTATTTGTGATTTGCAAATAAGTAGTGCATAGCACTTATTTTGAGGAAGGTGCATTAGTAGAAAAAAAATCTCCCATGAAGAGTTTGGTGCAATTCCTTTGGTGAATTAGCATGGTTATGGAAAGCAAGAAATCCTTTTACTCCTTATGAGCTTAGAATCTAGAGTTTAAGCTGCAAAGAAGTGTTTTATAATTATTATTTGAAATAATGTTAGCTTGCTTTGAAGTTTCTTGTTATTGCAAAGGCATATAAATGTCCAAAGCAAGGAAACAATGTTAAAAACCAATCTGGTAACTGAATTGTGATAAGTGGAAGTTTTAAGAGTCAATAGGTTCAGTTGGAGTTAAATTTCAGCATCACTTAATGGATAATTTAAAATAATATGCAAATAGAATAATGAGAAAGCCCAAAGTTTGTGGCTGGGAAATGACAATGAAATAGGATGGATAAATTTGAATCAGAAGCAGAGGTGGTTGTATGAATGGAACGTGCTTGTTTGAAGCATGACACATTCATAAAGAGTGCACTAGGGAGAGAATAGCTGCTTTGGTACAACTGTGCCCTACTCTTTCTCCTTTTTTCTACCTTCCTTTGTCTGCATGTCTTTGTAGTCTTTTTGCTATGTTGATCTCGTATCTTCAATCTTGAAATATTTGAACTCTTAGGTGCATCTTCTATTTATTGTTTTGGCAGAGCCAATCTATGATGGAGATCCTCAACAAACCCATTCACCAGATATCTCTGGAGTTATAAAGCTGCCAAATCTTAACATTGTAAGTGGACTCTCTGATGCATTATTTTCATGTTTTAGCATACATAGTGTACACCCAAAGTATATTTATATTTTATTCTATAATTATATGACCCTGTTTGAAATTAGTGAGAGTTAGTTCATGCCAATTCAATCAGCATATGAACTAACTATGATGTTAAAACTTTTTTGTCCAAAGGTGCCATATTCCAATCCTGTTGAGAGATAACTGAATTCAGGGTATTGTCTTTGATAACAGAGATTTGCTGGGAGTATTAGATATGTGTTAGATACTGCTAGTATTTACAAGGGTTCAGGCAGAGGAAAAGGGCTATACTTGTGTTAGTTTTGAGCAACTTTATCTGGCCCCACTATTCATTGTTGGGAAAAAAAGGAGAAATCATCTTAAAACTTCTTTGGAAGGTAGCAATCCTCTATCTTTGCCAAGAAATCTTTCAGATCCACCGGTATATGGATCTTTTAGTTGAACTGCAATACAACGAATTCCAGCTGTAGCTTTTGACATTGCAGCTTGAAAGCTTTGGTTGGATCTTTTACCTTCAGTGATGCTTCTTGGAAGCATTGATTGTCCTCTATTCTTGGATACATGGAAGTCACTCAAATTCTTCCAATTAGAAGCTATATTGACATTAGTTATAATGGAAACTCTTATATAACGAGCTGGATATGATCTTTGTTTCTAAGAATAAGTTATCCACAGTGATTTTTTTTTCTTTTTTTTTGTGATACATCTTTTTCTGTTTAATGGCCTTGTAGACAAATGAAGTACATAATTCCAAGATGAGTTCTCAGGATTCTCATATGGAGGGTGCAAATGAAATACAAGACAGGAAATCTCATCATCAATTAAAGTATAAGTCTTCTTTTCTTTGTCCCAACCCTTTTCCTGGCCAAAACTCTTCTTCAGATATCTACAACAGTTCTGCCGAAAAAACTGCTGTCAGTGATTGCAAACAAAGTTTGATGAGCTCAAAGCTTGCTGTTGAAAGGATGGGATCTGATTCTTCTTCTAACCATCCTGGCCCCTATTGTTGGAAAATTGCCAATGAACATGAAAAGCCTTGGTTGCATGATGATGATAGTCATACCTATAAGGTCCCAAAGAATGAAAACCTTTCTAGAACTTCAAATTTGATACGTGGGTGCAGTGAGTCCCTGGTTACTGAGAGGGGGCCATTTGTGAGGATGGCAAAGGTGTCATTATTGGCTTATATTTCTGCTCACATGCTTTTTCACTCAGCAGTTTCCATGGTGAATGTTTTGGCTTGAAATTCATGTGTTTCGCATACATGCAGGTGGAGAAACTTGATGGAGAGTGGAAGCCGAATAAGGAGTACCCTGTTAGAGTAAAAATTGATCCAACAAATGAAATGAGAGTAAGTTCAAGCTTAAGTTGGCTTTTGGTCAAGTATGCATATCATGTAATGACGATTTGCTTTTGACACCCCTCTTTCATATTTTAAGGTTGCCAAGGGCATCAATGTTCAATTTCCTCAACAAGATTTTGTGGCAAATGCATCACATGCCAGATTGCCTCTGTTGACAAATCAGACTAGAGGGTCAGTATTTATGTATTTTTACCCGCTCCCTGTTATTTATTGGCATGTGCACATCCCAATAAGCTTCTGCTTGTGTATTTATTGTGATCTTGCATGTATGTGGATATAGGCATTCATTTATGTTCATATTTATTGTTTCTATTTTTATGCATTCATTCTTGTTTTTGCTCTTTGTTCTTTAATTTTCTTTTAGTAACTATTCTGCTGGTGCTTTGCTTTGGTTATTAGTTTACAAGATTTTTACAAATCATCAAGTAACGTTGCTTGATTGGTACCAGTGGCCTTTTGATGGGCTATTGGAGCAACATTAAATTATGTGTTTGCCTTTCAAGTGATGAGGAAATCACAATAAAATTGTCATGGTTAAGCATCCTGCCAACCTAAACCAATTTTGAGTAGGTTGTGACACAACATAAATAGAGGGCCACAACAAACCTTGTAAACTCAAACATCTTTGTAATCATAGGACAAGCGAGCAAGGTTCGTAGCTTAATAAAGTTCTGGATTTGGAACTGCAGCATTGGTCGAAAACTAAACTAATATGGTTAAGATACTTGTGAATGGCAGTCTATTTTATTTTTCTTAGAGAATTAATGACGGTCTGTTTTGTGAATTATGAATGTGGTAATCTCAATGCAATTAAAGTCTTTCATTTTTCTCTTCTTTTTAATCAGTGTAGCCTAGTATTATCTATTTTGCTAAATATGCAATGGTGTTGCAGTAACTCTTATCACTTCCTTAAAAATAATGTCTCTGCACTTCCATCTCACTGAGAGGGTTTCTGGTTTTGGCCAAAAACAAAAAAAAAGATGGTTTTTGGTTGTTATAAGTGTGCATGTCTTCTTATTTCCTTTTCTTTTTTGGGTAGGGTTGAGGGTTGGGCTTGGGAGGGAGTTGTTTGTGAAAGGTGGGAAAAAAAGGATTTAATAACCTTTACTGGGCAACTGATGCATGCACATCACAATTCACAAACTTGGAATGTTAGGATTTTCTGGATAGTTGTTCTCTCCCCTAACTAATATTTGAATCCAAAACTTGAAAAATTCAGGAATTTGGGGAGCTAGGGTTCTTGCAAATCTTTGAATAGATCAATTCCTTGTTTAGGTAAGGGGGATGTGGGAATCAGGAAGTGAAGGAGCCATCAGTATGGCATTCATTTTTTCAAAGTGTATAAAAACTGTAGGTCTAGCAAGGGATAATTTCGAATCATGGTTTCATAATCTTCATTGCATGTTATATGGTTGTCAACCTTTTAACTGTTGTATATGTCATGATCTAGATCTTCCATGGATGTACCATCTAGCTTCAGTGAGGATGAAACTGCAGAAACTAGTTCTTCCTTGGATTGACAGCGCATATGGTTGATGGATTGCAGAGAGGCTTAAGGGGTTATCTCGACTCCTCGAGACCTGTATTAATGTCTGTATAACTGCTTTTGTACAGCTGAAAAAAGATTGCCTTCCATCTTACTAACTGGAAAGCACTGCTAGGAACATTGGGCTCGGACAGCATTTTTGTTCACTGTGTTTTGTCCTTGAATAGTGCTCGGCTGTTAATATATGTACAAGATCTTTTTCACTATCTAGTTAATTAAATGCTGTGGTAACTTATCATGCCAAAAACGAAGTCTTCTCAAAGGGAATGCATGAATCCAAGCAACCCAAATATCACAGATTAATGGATCACAATGTTTCATGGTATGTCTCCCAGAAATTATTCTCCCAAATATCATGTCCATGGAGGCTGCCCAACTTAAAACCAATTTAAATGCCTGACAGAAAAAAAATTTCAGATTTAGCACTATTGAGTTGCAAACCTGACATGGAATAGACTTCTTTGCCCCATTTGTAAAGATCATAAAGTCATTTGTAAAACAAAATGTATCGAATGCATCTTTTTACAAGTGGGTTGGTAACAAAACTTCTTGCCATATTCGGAATAGATGATGAAACATGCAATCATAATCACTAAAAAGCTAAGGTTATAACGCAAGCTCTTAGCCAACCAAATACCTTTGAAGGAAAATCTGGAGTTGCCAAAGTATTAAAAAGAAATCTCCAAGCATTCTGATTAGCGGTGATCAGATTGGACAAGCATTTTTTATATCTATAGGTAAGGATTATGTCAAATTGTAACCATATGTTTTTACTTGATTGGATATAATCTGAAATCGCCGGCCAGTTTATGTAACTAGAAATTACCATGAATGTATGATCTATCATCATAATTCAATCCATATCATTGTTCCATAGACCCCTTCCGATAATTTTTTTTTTTTTTTTACCAATTAGATAAATTACAATAAAAGCAAACCAAATATGAAAAAAAAAATCACATACTGGTTTGTCAAAATTGGGGAAGAAAATATACAAACCAACCTTTTTGGGTGTCCACAAATGTCGCTTGTCTGTTTCTTTGTTTGCACAAACAAGCCCTATGGTCCAACAGGCTATGGTCATCTACTATTAGAATTAAAGGATATTGAATTAATTACTTCGAAATTTTTGACAAATTTTTTATTTTTAAATTTCTTTTTCTAAACAATATGCTTCACCTTGTGAAAAAAATTAAAAGTAAAAAGCTTCACCAATTTGTAGATAAGCAATGATCCGGTAATGCAAATTACAAGTTTAATTGAATTTCAATTAATTTATGTAAATATTGTTAAAAAGTGATATTCAATGTATTTAAAATTCAAATTTCAATACATACAATATCTTTCTTATTTTTAGATTGTAATTTTTTTTATAAAATTTTTTTTTCACATAATAATTTTATCTATTTAATTTGAGTATATACATATAAATTAATTTTTAACTCTTCAAAATTTATAACATATATAAAATTCATACATGTCTGAAAAACTAAACATTTTAAAAAAAGCAAGAAAAAAATGCCATGTGTTCCCTTTGGACTATTTTATTTATAATAATATTTTATACATGGTGAAAGATTTTGATAATTAAATAATTTTTTAATTAAAATTATTTGACAAATAATTAAAATTATTTATTAAGAAGATAAAATTTATATTTCACATTTTTAATTTAAAAATATATATATCTAAATTAATTTAATTTTTAATTGTAATATGAATAATTTTATTATTTTAAAACATTTAAGATTATCTAATTTGTAATTAGAAAAAAATATTTTATTTTTTTAAAAAATTATCGTACATGTCATTCAAAAAATTTATCTACATAAATGTTTAAAAGATAATTTTGCATATGTTATAATATAATATATATATTTATGATTGCAATATTAATTTGCTCGAATCTAACCTATGGCTAAAAAATTTTGATTATATATTCGTATATATAATAATGTTATTGTGTTGATAGGTCAAATCGCTTTAAACTCAGTCGAATGGTTGGCCCAAAGAAAAAAATTAGAACATGAATTTGTCTGAAGTTGAAATGGGCAAGACAAATCAGGTGGTCTATGTTAACCTTCATGCTTGAGCATCAAACTTAGTGGTTGGACATATAATTTAGATTCATAGTTGTATCTTTTTTTTTTTTTTTTTTGAAGAATATTGAAAATTTTTACTACATCCAATAAAAATAAAAGTAATTTATAAATTTGTATATGATTTGGAGGATAGTATAGGAAAAATTACAATCATATTATCCATAGTTATATAATTTGATGATAAAGGATTAAAATTTTAATTCTAATAATTAAAAAAATTCATCGTTAATAGCATCAAATATACAAAAACTACAATCATATTAAGTAGATATAAAAATTAAATAAACAAATTAATCAATGAACGAATCAACATTTAAAATCTCTTATTTATCATTAAATCAAGACATCATTGGCATTGATGATAGGTTTTTATTAGCTTTAATTTCTTTTATGTTTTGTTCATGTTTTACCAAAAAAGAAAAAGGAGAAAATATATGCACTGATCATTGAGTTACTGAGATGCATCTCAACCTATTTTTCATTTGCAAAAAATTTCAAGAAGTTATATTTTTGCAAAACAAAAAACCCTAAAATGAATTGATGTTTTACCAACTGAATTTTTTTTGTTTTCTTTCTTTTTGCTAAAAGAGGGTTTTCATCTTGAATTGCCAATGGTAGATTATCAAAAGGACCACCTTTGACTGAACAAGAACCTAACCAGAAACATGTTATCTTTTCAGCATTTGCAAAAAAAAAAAAGAATAGTCAAGCAAAGGACCAACCAGAAAGAAAATAAAAGTTTTGTGACTTCATTTTTATGATGCAATATTGGATTAGAAGAAAAGGCAAAGGGCAATGGGTATGGTTTGTTGTTTAGGGCCACGCCAATAAAGCACATCATCAGGCAATTCAGGCCCCTTTGCTTTTGGAGTAGGACCATTTTGGGGGGCAAAGGGCAAAGGGCAAAGGGCAAAGGAAAAAGGGGACTAAGTTTTTTCCATTTTTCTTCATTTGTGTGGCTATTTCTCTCTTTCTTTACTTTTCTTTAAAGTGCACCAGTCATTGTGGTTTTGGGCTCAATCAATAGAGTAATTATGGATGTACACTGAACTTCAATCAACCCACCTCTCACATGCTTCTTTCTACTAGAATTTTCTTTTCTTTTTTCATAATATTAATATTGATTGATATATCCAAAATTTTTAAAATATAGATGCAATGTGTGAAAAAATGAATTCAAATTCGATATTTTAAAAATTTCTTTGCAAAATTCAAACTATAAATTATCTAAATTCAAAATAGTCTTAAAATTATAATTATTAATTTTATTTCAATATCAATCGAATTGATCGATATATTTTAATTGTATCAAAATATGATACATTTAAATATGATTTTATGTATCGAATTTGATATCAAATAATATCATTTATTTTCATTAGTTTCAACTAATTTTAATGAATTTCGATAAATTAACTTGTTTCAGGCGCTACATAAATGTGAAATATATTTTATAATTTTTAACTTGTTTTTTATTATTTTACTATTTTTAACTTAATTAAAATAAAATTAATTGATAAAATAACCTTTGAAAGTTAAATTTTTTTATGTTTTATTGTAACTTACTCTTTTTTTTATACTTTATTTTTTCAAACAAAAGTTCATAAATATTTCAATCTTTTTTAAGAAAGTAATTGTATTCACTTTCTAAAGTTTATCAATTATGTTAATTTTTTTATCCTTTTATTTTTATCTTAATATTTACATGAAAAAATATTTATTTAAATATCATATGATCATATTAAATATTTAAAAATATCATAAAAATTTTATAATATTATTTCTTATATTTTTAAATTTATTTATTTAATTTTTGAATATATTACATATTTATTTTGTAAATTATTAATAATAGTATAATATATAAGTTTATGTATATTTATAAATATACTTGTACTAAATCCGAAAAACTGAAATATTATGTCAAAATAATACATACTAATATATATTATATTTTTAAAAAAATTGAAATGTTATTTAATACGATATTAATAATTTTGCCTAAGACAAATTTAATCTAAATTCATAATAATCCAAATTTAATTTTAAAATTTAAAGCTATCAAATTTTCACTTAAAAATTAATTATCAATATTTTTTTAACTTGAACTCAAGATAATTCAGCTAAAACTAATTTTAAAATATAAAATAACCTGAACTTGCTCGTTTGTTAATTTTATAAACAAAAATAGCAAGATATATGTATAATATTAAAGAAATTAAATGATTTTTTTAAATAAAAATTTAAATAGTCAATCTCTGACTATCTAATGTAATTAGTTAATAATAACTAAACTAAACTTGCAATATTAAATGCTAACATTCTTTGACTTTATTATGAATATAATTCGTATAGGATGCGTTCCGTTTGCTTTATTATTTAGTTATTTATTTATTTAACTTTTATTTTTTTCATTTGTCAGGAGGAATTGACTTATTTTATGTGTTTTTCCACTGATTAACTATGAATTTCTTTCTTCTACGTTAATGTCCAAAGATGATAAAGAAACCAAACAGTTGCACTTTTGTTTCTTTACAAATGTACCGAGAACGTAGTGTCACTGTCCAAATTGGCTTGGGGCTTTTAGGACATGTTTGTATTTATTTTTTAAAATAGAAGTAACATTTTGATAAAAAATATTATGAAATTTAAATATTAAATCTGATAAATTTTTTTAAAAATTATAAACTTTTTCGAAAATAAATTTTGAGAAGCCAAAATCATACTGCCTTTTGAAATTTTAATTTTGAAAATGAGATAGTGAAAATTTAAAAAAAACTTATAAAAAATAATTTTTTTATAATTTTTTATTAATTAATGTAATAAAAATAATTATTAAAAGTTATAATTTAAAAATAATAAAAAAATTAATTTTACTATTTTTATTTTTTATAAAATTAAAATTTATATTTTTTATAAATATTTTTTTTATATCGATTATTAAAATTTTATAATAGTTCTAACTAAATTGAATTTCTTAAAAAAATCTTTTCATTTATTTATCATGATTGATTTCTTCGATTTACATGTTAAATTTTGATATAATTATTAGTATTAAATAATATTACTTGTATAACTTCTAAGAGCTTCAATTTTTATATGTTGATCAGACTTAATAGTTTTTTAATTATATCTTGTAATATTAAGAGACAAAATGTTTAATTAGAATTCATAAAATTTTATTATTTTTTTAAGATCAAAATTTTTAATAATTTTTTATTACACTAATTAATAAAAATTTTAATAAAATTTTTATTTTTGTAATTTTTCTTAAACTT